CGCGAGCCGCGTGACCGTGTGCGCGTGCTTTTGGAGGCTTGTTTGTGCATGGTCCATGGAGGTCGTCGTGACGTCGATCGGAGTGTGGGGGTTGTGACGACGAAACACACGGCCGGGAACAGCTGCAAAGTCCAAAAAGAGCGCGCGCACACACGCCCAACACTCTGACTCTCTCGTACTCTCGAGCGGGCTCGAGAGCAGCATCGGTTGGTCCGCGTGACGGCATGCGGAAAGGCCACGGTCACACGAGCTCCCATTCTGCTGCAACAGCGACAGCGCAAGCGGAAGCGGAAGCCTGACTCGACGGTCGGATCACGGGCTCGCAGCAGGGGGTCGCGTTTAGTCGGGGCCGGTGTTTCGCTTGGAGTCGTCTGGATCGTGGCGCGTGAGCCCCTCCGTCTCGGACGGGGAGACGGTGGCGTACTTATTGACGTCGAGGCAGCGTGAGATTGGCGCGGGGCAGCACGAGTCGAGGCAGTCGGGCTTGCCCTCGCTGCTTGCGTGCTTGAGGTGGCCATACAGGACAACCCCAAACATCGCGACGGTGACGCCCGCGATGTTGTTGTACAGCTGCTGCGCGTCCCCCGCGACGGGGAAGAAGACGTACCCGCCGATGAGGACGAGGCACCTACCTCGCACCGACGGGCGGGGTGACGGGCGGCGCGCGGCGCTGAGAGGGTGGCGGCCGGCGGCGGAGGCCGCACGTCTTTGCATGGCCAACGACCTGGAAGGTGATGGGGGACGTCTTGCCGATGAGGCCGAAGGAGCACCAGTTGACGAGCAGGGCCAGGAAGCACGTCGCGAGGATGGTGCCTACAGCGCCACGAACGAACCCGCAACTCAAGGGCGCGGCCGTCCGCACCCGCGGCGGCGGGGCAGCGGCAGAGGGGGAGCGGCGCCGACGATGCCGTCGGGGACCCGCCCCGCGCGCCACTGCGAGAGGAAGGCCATCGTCGAGTCGGAGCACTCGCCTGCGGCACCGGCCCGCGGCGTTAAGGGCGCACTGGCGCGAGGCGCGACGGCGGAGGTTCGCTGCTGCGCGGGCACGCCTCTGCCGTCGAGCTGCTGCGGCGCGAGGCAGAAGCTCTCGACGGCGAGGGATAAGCCGCAGGAGGAGAGGGCCTGGTAGAAGGAGACCGAGTACTGCAGCTGCGTGCCGCTCATACCTGCGAGGCGGGCGCCGCGGTCTCGGAGCCGTCGGCCACGCGGCGGCAGGCGGCGGTGGCGCGGCCCGGGCGAGGCCGGCGGCGGCCGGCAGTGGCAGCGCACCGTACTCTTTTTGCTTCGTGCCCTGCCAGATCTGGAACATGGCGGTGGAGAGGACGGCGAGGACGCCAAAGGCCAGGCCGAGCGGCCTCAGATCGACGTCGGAGACGGTGGCGATGCCGACGCCGGCGAGGAGGATGAGAAGAGAGAGCTTGACCTTGTGCGTGGTCGAGACGGTGTACATGTAGAAGTTGATCAGCAGCGTGACAGGCACTATGGTGAGCTTGGTGACCTGGCGGTCGGGTGAGCGAGCGAGCGGGAGCGTGAGAGGGAGGGAGGGAGGGAGGGAGGGAGGGAGGGAGGGAGGGAGGGAGGGAGGGAGAGAGGAATGAGTGTGTGGGAGAGGTGAGAGAGTGGGTGAGTGGATGTGCGAGAGAGCAGTGACCTGGTAGAATCCGACGCTGTTGAGCGAGAGGGAGACGTTCATGAAGCCGATGGAGGCGACGCCCGCAAAGGCGACCTTGAACTTGTCGGCCTCGGGCATCGGGCTCGACGGCAGCTCAAAGAGGTTGCAGGCTAGAAGCAGCCTACAAGAGCGTGCGCCGGCGCTCACCTCCCGCGGCGGGCGCGGACTGCGAGATGGAAGGAGCGCCGGTAGAAGACGACGGTAAAACAAAAGTGGAAGAAGGATAGCGTGAACGGAAAGTGGAAGCCGGCGGCAAATACCTGTGTGCGGTGTGCGGCGCGGCATAAAAGTCTCGTCACGGCGGTGGCGGAGCATGGCGGCGGCGCACTCTCTTGTTGACCAAGACGATCGCGACCGAGCTCAGGACGTTCCCTATCGCGTACCAAGTCGCCGCGCCCATGGGTGAACCAAGTGTTGGGCGGGCGCGGTGAACGTGCCACAGCGAAATTTTGCTGTTCACGCGTGTGTGTGAGAGCTGGCGAGTAGAGGCACACGCACGCACTCTCGAGGTCTCTTGGAGCAGAGCCCCGGGCGAGCCCTCGAGAGAGCCCAATGGGTCCCTCGAGAGGGGTACCCTGGGTGGGCGGGGCCTCTACTCGCCAGGTGTTAGAGAGTGGGCCCGTGTCAGTGAGTGAGTATTCTTGATACGAAACCACGACGACACACACCAGTCGACTCGCATCGGTTGCCTCCATGAACGGCGGAGCTATTCTCGCGCCCCCACCACACCTGGCTCCAACGTGGACACGCCCATAGCTGGGGGGACACTACTAGGTCACGCATGGCATCAGAAGTTTTATCTCTGTGGGCCCCGAAAGGCATCTCTAGCAGCGTCGTTACGCATACACATATGCGCCCTCCCCTCCTGGCGGTGTCCGGTGCGGAATCGCGCTCGCGGACCCGCCCGCTCCCCCTACGTGCTACGACGGCGGCCCACGCCTCGAGTCGAACGAGGCCTCGCTCTACGATGGGAGCGACGAGGAGTTCTAGGAGCGGCCGAGCCCTTCCCGCAGCGCAACCCTAGCAGCGCAGCGGCCGAGCGGGCAGAGGGCGACTCGCGCAGCGCGCGGATCGCGCAAGCGGCGCGCGCGAGCGAGCGAGCACGCACACACACACACACACACACACACACACACACACACACACACACACACACACACACACACACACACACACACACACACACACACACGCACGCACGCACGCACGCACGCACACACACACGCACGCACGCACGCACACACACACGCACGCACGCACGCACACACACACACGCACACACACGCACGCACGCACGCGCGCGCACGCACGCACGCACGCACGCACCCGCGCGCGTGCGCGCGCACGCACACGCACGCACGCACGCACGCACGCACGCACGCACGCACGCACGCACGGACGCACACGCACGCACGTCACGTCACGCACGCCACGTCTCGTCATCTTACGTCACGCACGCCACGTCTCGTCATCTTACGTCACGCACGCACATCACGTCACGCACGCACATCACGTCACGCACGCACATCACGTCACGCACGCACATCACGTCACGCACGCACATCACGTCACGACAATCCTATCAACATGCCTCCGATTGCGAGCAGTGCTGCTCACAATCCTACATCTTGTAGGACTATGAGCGGCTGCGCTCGCAATCGGAGGGAAGATCCAGGGATTGGCGCTCGGAATCCTACCAACATGCACCGATTGCGAGGTAACCCGCTCACAATCCCTAGATCTAGCGTACGATTGTGAGCGCCGCCGCTCATAGTCCTACAAGATGTAGGATTGCGAGCGCTACTGCTCGCAATCGGAGGCATGATGCTCGGATTGTGAGCAGTGCTGCTCGCAATCCTAGACTTTGCTCGGATTGCGAGCGCGCTGGTAGTAGTCGTAGGCGTCACCAGTCACCTTGGGAGCGGAGCTGCTCTTAGTCCTAGAAGATGTAGGATTGCGAGCGCCGGCGCTCGCAATCGCACAGAGATGCTACGATTGCGAGGAGTGCTGCTCACAATCCTTCGACTTCTAGGATTGAGAGCGAGGCTGCTCTCAATCCTTCCGGTCTAGAAAAGAAGGTTCACCCCCACACGCACACACACGGGGACCCCCCCCTAATTGTGGGTGCGCGGCAGGCCCTGGTCGTGGGGCCCACTCCATTGCCCCTGCCCCGCCGCCCTCGCCGCCTCCGATGGAGTTCTCCGCGAAGGATGGCAAGCGCTGCCCTTTCTGCCGCAAGAAGGTCGAGCTCGGCACCCGCAACCGCGCGTTGTGCAACGGCCTGTGTACCAACACAGGCCGCAGTTCGGGATGCAAGGCCGCTGCGCAGACGGCGGCGCTCGGTGCACTCACGAAGGCGGAGCGGCGGCTTTCGTCCCTGCAGGAGCCAAGCGCGCGCGACGGCGGCGAAGGCGCGCACGGCGGCGGCTCATGCGGCGTGTGCGCACATGAGCTCTCGGGCGACTGCATGCACACTGTTTGCGTTTCCGGCCACAAGCTGATCCTGCACGAGAAGTGCTTCCTAAAGCTCAAGGCGAAGGAGCACAAGCAGTGTGGGCTGCACTGCCCCCTCGACCGCATGAAAGTGACGCAGGTCTGCTGCTCGGCGGAGGACTGCTACGCCAAGCTGTTGTCGGCCGAGGCCGCGGTCGTCGAGGTCCGGTCGCACGAGGGCGGCGAGGCGCCCGCTGTGGGCGGCGAGTCGCGGGAGGGCCGGCGGGAAAAGGACGCGGAGGGCGACGCGAGGCGGCGCAAGGAGGACGCCGCCCTCAAGGCCCTGCAGGAGGCGACAGGTGGGCAGGAAGTGGCGAGGCAAGAGGCGCGCCGGCTGAAGGCCGAGGCGCGCTCGGCGGAGAAGGCGGCGGCGGCGGCGCGGCGCGAGGCGGAGCGAAAGGCAAAGTCGGACGTGCTCAAGGAGAAGTTTGCGCGGCGCAGGGAGGAGGCGGCAGCCGAGGCGGCAGCGGAGGCGGAGGTTGCGGTCCTCACGCTGCAGCTTGGGTGGCGGACGGTTGTCGACCGGCTGCGGTGCCTTCCCCGCCCTCCCTTGCCGCACGGCTCCTCGACCCTCTCCACGCGCAAAGCACCCCTCCCCTCATCGCCAATCCCCCCCCCCCCCTTACTTTATTACTTTATCTATTGCTTCGTCTTTTTCGTCTCCACTCCTCTTTTCTCCGTCC